CAGCATGGCGGAAACGGATGCTCAGGGCGCCATCCCGAATAGTCTGGAGTCTGTGCATGATACTTTGCATAATGCCATTGGCCGTGGAGGTCATATGTACGATGCGGCGTACTCTGCATTTGATCCCATCTTCTGGTTGCTTCATACGTAAGTACCGCGCAACCTACTCTAGTGGGGTGTTGACTATTGTAGTAACGTCGACCGACTGCTCGCTATCTGGCAAGACCTTCATCCGGATAGCTTCGTCGAAAGCCACGTCAACCCTTGGCCGACGTTTGCGACTGCACCGTACTCAGAAGCGGACGAAAACACGCGTGAGTGCATCACGGACCGCTTACTCGATGTTTAATGACGTTGACGTCGACAGCTCTTTATCCATTTCATCGCAATGCAGCAGGCGACTTTTGGACCTCAGCCTCTGTTCGCGATCACACAATCTTCGGCTCCACGTATCCTGAGTTCCTCGGGCTCTCCGCAACCGACACTCTGGTTGGTAGAGTGAACGCACTGTACGGGGGGAATGCAACGTCACGGTTCTCGTGGGAGACCGCACGCGCTGAACAGCATGTCGCCAGTCCGCAGAGCAGCGATGTCCGGTACCAGTACTCCGCCGTCATACGCGCACAACACATGGGGCCTGGAGGTGTTTCCAAGGTCCTCGTCTTCTTGGACGCGAAAATGAACATCAACGCCGGACCTGCGAATACTCAGGCATGGATGTCAGAGCCTGGGTTCGTTGGATATGCAGGTTTCCAGAACGCGGTTGGCCAGGAGAAGACCGAGATGCAGACGAATGGCGTAGTTGCATTGACGGCAGCCCTGGAAGACCGGATGCGAATGGGGGAACTGCGCAGTATGGATGAGAATGTTGTTGGAACGTATCTGCAGGAGAAGCTACATTGGTTGCTTGTTGATGTAAGGCTCTTCGATCCGGCAAACAGCCATGCATGCCGATATTTGCTAACCAACTTGTGTCAGGCCAATGACAATGTCATCGCTCCTGAGCACGCGTCCGGCTTCTCGATTGGGGTATCATGGGCGAAGACATCGCCAGGTACGGCAAGCACGCTGCCTGCGGTCCTCGGTGGCGGCTTCGAGCAGTTGCCACACGCTACGATGGGCAAGGCAGGTGGAGTGCAATGACAGAGGCGCTGAAGGCGTATCTCAAATTTTGACTCATGATTAGTTGACTTATCGTGACAGTGGAAATACGTTCTTCCAAGTAGCGCAGCAATTCTACGAGAATGCAATCGGGTTATCACGAGAAGGGCGCGAACACAGGGAGAGATTCATCCGGGTAACAAGACGTGTTCTTTCTGTATACCCAGCTGCATGCGCGGTGAGGCCTTGGCAAGTTTGCCGCGCGATTGTCAAGACACGCAAGACATTGTTACCGCTCAGGTGTGAAACGGCACTCTATCGGAGACGGACGCTCTGGCAAATAACGATGCGTTGCAGCGACCCCTAACTTGGCTCAGGGGTTGCAGTCTCGGTTAAAGCGGCCCTCCACGTCAGCCCGCCAAGACAACGAAACGTTCTTCCGTGTGCTTGATTCTACGAGGCGTCGCACTAGCTTACGCCTCCATGCGCCGATGAGCAGTGGTACCGCTATCGTGAGCCGAATACGCGGGTAGCTGGTCTGCGGAGCTCTTCGTGGTGGTCTCGTGGTTCGTAACTGTGCGTTAAATTTGGTCTTGTAGTAAGGAACGGTTCCGGACGATCATGGCCAAGTGCAGCTGCAATGGCTGTGTTACATCCGCCAGCGGAGAGTTCCAGATATAGGGACCATCGTCAGGAGTGCGCTACGCGATGGAGTTGTAAAGGCCACAGATGCAGCTTGTTAGCGCGGGATGCCGTTTCCCTCCATCTTCATGCTCCATGCTTCATCTGCCCGGGCACGCGACATGAGCACCAACCTCAATGCGGCTCAGGGGTGATCTGTGGTAGAGTCTTGCCATCAAGTTCAAGCATTACCTGGGGTTTTTGCCGCGCCCGCAAACCACTGATGGCGTACCAAAGGAGACTGCTAAAGTGACCTTCCCGATAGCCTCTCTTGGCATTATCCAACTGTCCAGCATCTGCCCAGTGAGCCGCGTCTACTGCAGGGTGCGCGTTCCTGAAAAGATGTAGCCCCCACCGGCAGGGCCAGGGTGCATTGGCTTCGCAAGGCCAAACCGCTGGTTTACACTCACACTTCCTTTTGACCTCTGCTCCCCTCTTGCCGACCGTCTTGATCTTTGCGGCAGCGATTCCATCATTACGAGCGCCGTTGTTCTTCGCCTTCTTGGTACCCGGAATTCGGCACCAGCGGAATTTCCAAGCCACCTGGGCACGCATCAGCAAGTCTCGAAGCCACGGCAATGCGCCTGAGCACATACTATAGTTCTTAAATCCTCACCTTCCTTGAATAGTAGACTTTCTTTTGGCTCTGCACGCTACATTTTCTCACCATGCCTCCCCGCGACGCCAACTGGATAGATGTAAGTCGTACCCGCCGTCACAAGCACAGTCGTGTAACTAGGGCTAACAGCGTGCTATAGGGCCTCCGAGGCATAGCATCCTTTATGGTCGTATGCGGTCACCTATGTACTGCGTTTGTACCATGGCTACACCAGCCCGCCGCAGACGCAAAATCCGCGCCGCACCTCTTCCAACTCCCCTTCTTCCGCCTCGCCGTCGGAGGTCGTAGCGCCGTAGCCCTCTTCTTCCTCGTAACTGGATACGTCAATTCGATTGGGCCGATTAGCAAGTCGCGTCAGGGAAATCACGATGCTGCCTTCCACGGCATTGCACGAAGTGCGCTCGCGCGCTCAGGACGGCTGATTCTCCCCACCATGGCGGCGACCATCGTTACCTGGTTCATGGCGAATACGAACGCATACCATATGACGAAGCACGTCGATGCGCAGTGGATACGGCAGGGTTGGCACCGACAGGAGCCTACGCTGTGGATGGCTTTCAAGTCGCTGTTCAGAGCGCAAACAGAGACATGGACAACCGGCTGGGACGAGTACGATGGCACACAGTGGACACTGCATATGTTCTTGGAAGGCGCATTTATGGTCTATACAACCATGCTTGCTACGGTTTTGGTGCGACCGAAAGCGCGGTTCATCATCTACGGCATCATGTACATGTATTTCTGGCAAGTCGGCAAAGGTGTGTATAGTTCCGGCCAGCAAACGAATTGGGCAATCGCTAACTAGAGCAGACCTCACAGTTGGCTCCATCAAGGGCCTCAACATCGTCACGGGCATGTTTGTAGCCGAGTTGCACAACCACTACAAGGATGCCGCCACCTCCGTCCTACCCGCCCCCATCCCCGCCATCATGATAATCTGCGGCATGTTCATGGCTGGATTTCCCCAGGACTCGGCCCAGAACACACGCTGGTCGCACACAATGGCCACCATCATGCACAGCTTGACCGCCGATAAGACGGATATCCGAAGATACTGGGACCACCTGGGAGCCGCGTTTGTCCTGCTGGGCATCTTCTTTTCGAGGAACGCACGCAAACTCCTTACGTCGCCTGTCTTCAACTTTCTCGGTCGCGTCAGTTTCCCTGTATACCTGCTGCACAATACTTTCATCAAGTCTGTGCTTACCTGGATGATCTACCTACCTTCCGCGATGAACCCGCCAAGGAACGAGAAGGGAGAGCAACAGGACCTCCAACGTGGATCGACGACGCACATTCTTATCGCCATTGCGGTCTTTTACTACATCCTATACCGAACTGCGGCACTATGGGTCAAGCACGTCGACCCAGTATGCGCAAACATCGTCAACGCAGCAACGAAGTGGGCATATGGCGAACCACAACAGAAGGAGGCCCGACCGATACTAGGGAACGGGAATGGAACGACCGACAAGAGTGTGCTTCCTTCATAAGTCCGTGTTTCTGGTCAGACACCCTGTTATTCTTCCCTCCATTCTTGTTGATCATTTTGCGGGAGCTGGAGCTTCTGCTATTACTATTCCATTTTTAAATTTCAAAATTCCTTTGTATCAAAGCATCTGTTGGAGCCAAGCATTGTGCGTTTGAGTGAGCGACCATGGCATGTAAGCTTGGACGTTTTGGAGTATACAAGGTGACATAACCTGGTAAATGGATGGTTTGGAAAGTGTCGAGGAGAATTACAGTACGCTGAAGTAGATGAATGAACACATGAAACTTCACTTTTGGACTCGACATGCCTTTCGAGCGTTGTTTTCGACTCACCCTGAGTTGCATCGTATCTGCCACATGGCCACAAGTCAACTTGTTTTTGGCGCAAAACGTTCATGTCATCGCCAACCACTTCACTTCCCAAAGGTCATTTACGAACGAACAACTCTTTTTGGATAGTCACTCATGCATTTAAGGGTGTCGAGAAGAGGAGAAAAGGTCAGAAAGCAGAGATTATATATGCTTGGTAGCTGGCGCTAACATGTTTTTGTGTTGGCGCCGATGAGGTCACGCAGCGCGAGCCATGCTTCAATCGTTTGGCGGTGACTGTCGAGGAAGGCATCACGCGGGTTGATGACGACAATGAGTTTTTTGGGGACCGATAGATGGAGGGATAGTCCAGTGTGACGAATACGTTAGTCCGTATGCTCTACTGTCATGCTCGCCAGATGATATGTATATCTCCTAGGCACGCCATATCTTTTACTCGACCTCCTAGCCCTCCTCGTATTCGGCAATTTCTATCTCAGCAGATCAGTATCGAGTAAGATTTCATTCACCGCTAATGAGACTAAGTTCGTTGAGTATAATCAGGCATTATCATTATCGTAAAAGAGTCTATCAGAACAAGTAGCGAGTGAACCGATAATACTGCTGCCGGAATAGGGTATCAAGAAACGCGGAAACAAAATGCCCAAGTCCATCGTCAAACTCTTATCAATCTGCCTCGTCGTATCCATCCATCCGTAGTCATCGCTTACCAAACCAAAAAACCAAAAAGCAACATGAATACAGTGAAGAATGGGAGCTTCGTTGTTAAGCCAGTTCTTTACATGTTCTCAATGACATGCGAGTTGATAGCACTCTGGAAGCCGTGGCTGTTGCCGCCGTATTCCTGTGCTGCAGAGCTCTGCACACCCATTGGGCTGGCACCGTGGGAGCTGGGTCCTTCGCCAACGGAGTCGGCTTGAGCGAGAGCGCTCTGAACCGTCTGGTTCTGCGCAGGAAGAAAGATCACCTGGGCGGTCAGTTTCGCGTGATTCTGGGCAGGAAGATTGGTGTACTAACCTTAGAGTTGGCGGACTTAGCCATTGCTTGCATAGCCTCGAGATATCTGATCTGCATAGCAGGAGCACTGCTGAGAATGTCGGCAGCTAAAGAGATAAGAAGTCAGTGAATGTCTCCCACGCATTTCATACAGCCATAACATACCTTGACGCATAAGCTTAGCGGCCTCAACCTCAGCCCTCGCAGCGATGACCTTGGCTTCTCCGGTACGCTTGCTCTGCGCAGCCATAGAGAGCGAATCCTGCAAATCCTGGCTGAAGATGATATCCTTGACGAGCATAGACTCAACCTCAACACCCCATCCAAGCGCCGTCTCCTCGATAATCTCACGGATCGACTGAGCAATCTCCTCACGACGCTCAATCACATCCTGCAGCACACGCGCACCAACAACATGGCGAAGAGTCGTTTGCGTACGCTCAACAAGCGCCTGGCGGATGTTGGAAATGGAGAAAGCGGCCTTGTGGGGCGAGGTGATGCGGTAGTAGATGACTGATGTCAACTGAAGGGAGACATTGTCCTTGGTCATGCAGACTTGCTTGGGGACTTCGACGATCTGGATCTTGATGTCGACTTGGACGAGTTGCTCTGACAGTGGGTTTACGTAGACGAGTCCGGGGTCGACCGCGCGGGCGAATCGTCCGAACTTGGTGACGAGACCCACGTTTCCTTGGTTCACGGGCTTGTAGGGGTTGGGGCAGACGATGCAGCAGGGGATGGCTCCGAGGGTACCGATGCAGCCTCCTAGGGTGTTGATCTAGATGGGTGTTAGAGTGGCGCATGGGATATGGATTTGAGGTAAACATACCATGCCACCATACCAGCCGTTAGTGTCAGCATCAGCATCGTCAGGCTGGATAACCCTCGCATAGCTAGGCTGAAGATCCTCTCGACGCGGTGGCTGAACCTTGATAACCGGCTCAGCAGTGCGAGGTGACTGGGTGCCACCATTGACAGGTGCCTTTCCGTTGATGTCGCTCATGGTCGCGGTAGTACGTTGATTGTTAACGGTATCGTTATCGTGTAGAATGGGTCTCGAAGAAGAATGCGTAGACTCGGCGATGGTAGAAGGATATGTGAGGGACATTATTCGACAACAACAGGGTGTCGTTGGCTTATATGCACCCAGGCAGTTGCATTCACAGCACCATGCATTCTGAGCGGGGAAGCTAGCTTAGCTCGATCCCTGCTCGTGCCCTTGCCCTTGTCACGCTAGTATGTGGCCACTTCTTGGGGCTGTGCGCACCTGTCTTACCATCGCATGCGACCAAATGGACTCTTGATGACAGCGTGGAATGCGCATCCGTTACTACCTGCTACAAGGCTCACTACGATCCTTGAGATGACGCGACAAACACATTGACCTTGGTTCCCTATACTCATACCAGCGCGCACCTCTGCAGTTTAACACAAACCCATCGACTTCGCGTCACACAACATCCACGCACCTCCAAGGCCTCCCGCACTCGGCTAAGTCGGGAACCAAGCCCAGAGCACACCCTTCGGGTCTACTCGTGACGTGCAAATACGCTCAAGGCACACTCGATATATGCAAACGGGCCATACAGAGGGCGTGCTCAAACATGTCCGACGTCAGCGATCTGGCCATTCGATAAGCACACCAATTCAGCCATCTCGGCATTATCACGCGCCTCGTGGATCGGGCAACAAGTGCCCCGGCCATCGGATTCAGCCCTGTAGGTGGGCTTCGTGGCGAAGGCTCGGCTGCGGATGTTAGGCCATATCTGAAAGGGGACTAACAACGCCCGAGGAGGCTGGTGAGTTGGCTTGACAGTAGACGGGTTATTTCCGATCTTGTAAGCGCGCTGGCGCGGGAAAACATCGTGAGGCATCGCACTTGTGTTGGTGCTGGCTATTATTCTCTACGGCACAGTCGTGAGCTGTCTCTTCTGCCTTCTGGATGGCTTCAGCGTCTAAGGCATCTTGCAGCCATCTGGACAAGGGGTGCGCCACGGCGGTACTATCTACACCGTGTACGAAGTGCATATCTTCGCATTTCGTGTCTTTATACTCCGGTCCGCACCGGTCAGATATCGCTCACGAGCGATTTCGGCGCGCCGTGAGCGAGATGTAATTCCCTCACAAAGACTCTGCGCATTTTCCGTATTGCCTTGCGTATTTCCGTTACAGGTCGCCGGTGAGCATCAATTCCCTCATCCCTCATCCCTCATCTCGAGATGAGTGGTGTGGGAATAATGCACAGCCCAATCAGGCGCTCGACTACAAAGACAATGCCTTCTTTGAAATCTTACTCCAACTCCATTGGACCCATCGCGAAACGGCTTACTCAGGGGAAGACCTTGTTGTTGGTCTGTTGTGGGGTCGTGCTGTTTGCTCGCCTTGAAGAGGCACAGTTAGTACGGCCTATATATACTGTTCGCCTACTACGCCCCAGCGCTATGGTCCTGTTTCCGCGCCGCACATGGCTTTCCAGGTACTTAAGCGCCCAGGTCCATTTATTTGGCCTACTTGCAGACCAACATTGGTTCGAGAACACGATATCTTGGATTCTAGCGTGTTGCATACAACACCCTCTCAAGTGTTCAAAAAAGTGCAAGGTAGCAGCTTGGAGGTCTTCACAGAAATTCAGCCTGCCGGACGTCTTACAGAACTGTGTATGTATTCCTCAACTAGACTTACGAAAGATAGTATCTTGCACTGCTCATGTATTGTAGGATGCAACTGTAATATATGTATTGCATATAAGCTGAAGTCTAGTGAATGCCAATACTTGATACCAAACGCCAAATATGCACCGAACGAATATTGTACAGCATCTCAGAACCCCCAACCCCTCTCCTCTACTTCAGGATACTCGCCCCTCTCCGATCCTTCTTGAGCGGCGAGAAGGTAAACGCCTCCTCGCTCATCATGTTGAACCCGCCCGAAATGGGGCGTCCCTGTCCCTGCTTACCCAACACATTCTTACTCAGGGCCCTCGCCGCAAATAAGCCTTTGCTGAGACCGACAGGCTTCAGGGGCGCAGCGTCCTCGGCATCTTCAGAATCGAAGAGTGTCTTTCCGGCACCTGCACCGAGCTTGCGCTTTTTCTTCTTCTCCGCTGCGGGTTCCTCGGTAAATGTGGCAAAGGACATGAGTGACTTGCGGGGCTTGACTTTGCTGGACTTCTTTGATGGGCCATCGTCATCTTTGGTTGGGATGGATACGGGTGCGTTTTCGGATGCGTCTTTGGATGTGTTATGAGAGAGCTCAGATGCTTCCTCTGAGACCATCTCGAGGACTGGGGCGGCGTTCTTCTTGCGTGGCTTTGCGTTTGCCTTGCTCGATGCTGATGGTGCGAGGGCCTTGACCTTGGGTTGGGCAGTCTTCTTGAGGGCTTTCTTGGGAGGCGCTGTCGGAGTAGCTTGTTCTTCAGCAGCTTCTTCTTCGACTTGTTGCTCGGCCTCCTCTTCTTCAATGATAGGGCTGTCAAGTGCGATGTTGCTCGCTTTGTTCAGGAATGGTGTTAGTGAGAAGGTGGATGTATCACCGATGGCAGAGACCGAAGTGCCGCGCTTTGCCTTCTTCGCAGGGAAGCCGTCTCCCGGCGTACCCAGCATGGTCTCTGGCTCAGCAGTAGCTGCCATACGTTTCCGAGCAGTCTTTGTGGGCTTGCTAGACGCAGCTGCGATGCTCTTAACAGGTGGTGCAGTCTGTGCCCGGTCTGCCTTCTGGAGCTCGGCTTCCTTCTCCTTCAACTTCTCCTTGGTTGTTCGCAGCTTCTCACGGAAAGCACTCAGCTTGTCGTCGAGAACCGCGTTTTTGCCCTGGAGTTCGGCCAAGGTCTGCTTGTATTCCTTCTCTTGCTTCTTGCGTTCGCGCTTCTCTTCTTCCAGCTCTTTCCTTGCAGCTTCGGCTTGATCGTCGGGTTGTTGCGAACCCTTCCTCGACGCCTTTTCCGCCTTCTGACGCTCTCGCTTCTCTTGTTCGAGTTCCTGTCGCAGCTCTTCGATCTCAGCATCGCGGGCGGCGGTGTCTTTGCGGGCTTTCTCGGCTTGAAGGTGTGCAGCCTTTTCTTGTTGTAGTTCCTCGCGGAGCTGCTCAATCGCGGCATCTTGGGCCTCACTGCGCTTGCTAGCCTTGTTGGCCTCCTTCTTGGACAGGCTCTCGACCTTGGCCTGCAGACTTTCGGTGGCCTGTTGTTGCGACTCCAGATCCGCCTGCACCTTCTCCATGGCCTTCTCAGCCTTTGTAAGCCCAGCCTCAGCCTTCATCCGGTCCTTCTTCTCCGTTGCGAGCTCATTGCGCACCTCCTCCAACTCGTTGCGGAGGTCCTCGTCCTGCTCCATCTTCTTCCCCTGTTTCGCAATGGTACGGGCGGAGGTCCGCTTCTCGTTCTCGAGTTCGACTTGTAGCGTAGTCATCTGGCGTTGCAATGCGAGTTTCTCAGAGAGCAGGCCGGTGTTTGCTTCGACCTGGGCGCGCAGGTGTTCGACTTCGGGGCGTAGTGATGAGATTTCGCGGGACAGGGCAAGTTTGTCGGAAAGTATCTTGTTGGAGTCGGATGTGACGTTTTCCATAGCCTTGAGTTCGGCCTAAGAGAAGTAAGCAAATAGCGCAATGATCGATAGGCCGGACGTGCTTACCTTGAGATTCGCGACTTCCCGCGCCTGGGTGCGGATGTTGTTTTGTGCTGCCTCTGCCTCTGCGCGTTGCTCGTCCAACTGCGCAAGGGCCTCTTCGAGCGATGCCTCGAGCTCGTCCGATCGCGCCTGCTCCTCCTCGAGTTGTTCGTGTAGGTCGCTGTTCTCGTCTTGCAGGAGGCACTGGGCGACTCGCAACTTCCGCATCTCCTCGTCTTTGACTACCGCTTCGACCGAATGCTTACTCCGCTCAAGGCTGAGTTCCAGCGTCGCGTTCCGCAGCGAATGTTGGAGCTGAAAGGGTTAGTATAAGGTCTAAGACATGGCAGCCGAACAGGGTCCAGCGGTCTTTCACTCACATCCTTCATCTCGTAGTTGATGTCCATATCTGCCTCCACAGCGGCGACCATGGTATAATATCTGCTCAATGATGCGCGAGCGTGTCGCTAGGTGTAGATGTAGGACGGAATGTGGTGGGGCTTTAGGTAGACGCGACTGGGTAAACAAACAGAGCGCAGATGGCCGTCATGGAGCTAGCAACCCAACAAAGTGAAGGAATGACGCTGAAAAGATAGAAACAGTACTCGAAAACTACAGAGGAACGAATCGCCTCTTGAGTAGTCCAGCAGTCCTTGTGAGGTTTACAATCCAGAGTGCTGACCTCCAACGCCCATGTCGCGCACCCCTGCCTAGGTGTCGGCCTTGGCATTACGCACGCCGCATCTCCGAGCTCGAGGCCACGTTCCCAAGCATCAGTCCAACCCACCAAAGCTCCGCACACCAACTCTCCACCCGCCAAACGACACAATGCGGTGGTTACAGCTCCTCACTGCCTCGCTGCTGCCTTTTACAGCTCTGGCAGCCAAGAAATCGACCGGCGACCGCTTCACTGACGCCCGCGCCAAGTCGCTTTCCGTTGGCCATCCGCTCAAGCTCGACGACGCCGGTTATGCGCAATTGACAAAGTCTCCGAGAGATTATGGCGTTGCTGTGCTTTTGACGGCCCTAGAGCCGAGGTTCGGATGCATGCTCTGCAGGGACTTTCAGCCAGAGTGGGATTTGCTGGGCAAGAGCTGGATGAAGGGTGATAAAGATGGGAAGACGAGACTGGTATTCGGCACGTTGGACTTTGTTGATGGAAAGAACACTTTCCAGTCGGTGAGATGTCCCTCTTCCTCTACTGCAATGTCCTAAAACTGACAATTGATAGATGATGCTTCAAACCGCACCCGTCCTCCTCTACTTCCACCCAACCGTCGGCGCAAACGCAAAGGTCGACTCCGCACCCGTCCGCTTCGACTTCACCGCCGGCCCCCAGAAAGCCGAACAGATCCACGCCTGGATCGCGCGCCAGCTCCCCGCTGACGTGCCCAAGCCC